TAGAGGATATTTGTTTGTTTGTGTGTAAGATGAAATTTTATTTCATCGAGTGGGCTTTAAAAACAATATTCTGTATACTGTTTTTAAAGTTCACGAAATGAAATAAAATTACATCTTACACAACAAACAAACAATTTTTCTTTTTATTTTGAGCTTAAAAACAAGTTAAAAAGGAAATTTCTATAATATTAACGTTAATATTAAAATCTGTTTTCCCCATTGAGAGCCCCATTTAGTCTGAATTTCTCACTAAAAACAAGAAGTCTTGAAGGCTTGAAAAATAAGTCCGACAATCAACAAATGACAATGATATTATATAAAAATATGAATGATCGCTTGTTTTAATAATAAAAACAAACAATTCTTGTAGGAGAAAAAGTCCAACCATCCATCCATATTTCTGTTACTTACTGCGAATTTATATTAGACCTGGCTTTGTTAAATGTAAGCGGCAGCCATTTTTTAAAGTTGTGTATTTCACGGGAGGAAAATAATTGACTTTGTGTTTGATTCAGAGGGATATCATTTGGATTTGTTAGTCATACACCTTTTTAAAAGAAAGAAAACATATCTGAGGATTGTAACAGACAAAAAATAGGTGTTGACAGATGTGAAAACATACAAAAAAGCAGCTAGGAAAATGGAAAACCTGGAGGCTGACTCAGGACCGCTGGGTTGTTTACTTGTTCAACGATCTGATGGCTGTCATAGCTTTTCAAATTTTTATAAAGCATACGGCAGTAATTGCTCGTAGGATACTTTTATATGCCCAAATGTCATCAAGAGCAGTTTTGCATGTGGAAGGAATGTATTTTTCAGACTGTAAAAATGAAACAAAAATATTTAGAGACGAAATTTGGTGATTGAAATTTGAATGAATAGAAGTAAGTTTTCTTCTTTTTATTACTTTTGACATTTAAGTTATTTATCAATTTCAGCTTTGCTTTTTCTTTAAACAGCCTGACATTGTCAGAATTGTTAGCAAATTGAGGTACCACATGGGGAAAATCTTAAAAAAGTAGTTTCGTCGTTGAAAAGTGTGAAATTATATTTTGATAATTTTCACTATGAAATTATCAAATATAATTTTCACGGATAAATCAGTAATTCACTGAAAAGCATAAAATAAAGAACGCTATTTTTTTTTATTTATTTATTTTTTCGATTTTTTTTTTAACAAGTTTTTATAAGATCATTCAAGTGATACATTGCAATTCAATTATTAAAAAAGGTAAAGAATGTACCCATTGTAAACCAGTCTACTTTAGATAAAGCCGGACTCTAGAGCCGTTATACCCACACACATGTGAAAACTGTGCGTTTCTTATTTGAGCAAACAAATGATTAAGATTTTATTTGCTCTTTATCTAATATCTTAATATCTTAAAAGATAAGAACATTTCAGATAAGCTCTTAAACCTGTCACATTATCTGAGAACTTTTGTCACAAATTCATACAAAATAACCCATATACTTTGGCTAATGATTCATCGAGCTTATATGATAAGAAGAAAAAATGTTTGACCCATCACTTTCGTTATGTGACATACTGCCGTGTGTTATTTACAATGTCTTCTTTTGTCACCGTAAATTGAGTGGATGGTGTGTCACACATTATTGTTATGGTCAGTCTTTAAAAAAACAACATTTGATGCATTTTACATAATGAAATAATATAAGCATTTATTCGACTTTATAGACTTTCTAAACGTATAATGTAAAACCATTTATAGTAGATTTTTTTTCTATCATGTACCTGCATCCATCACCTAAGAACATTAATAATTGTATATGTTTCCTTCTTTCAAAATATATCTTCAGTGTCATCTTTGTCCACTTAATTTGGTCAGAAAATACTCAATATGCAATCCTCATTATTAGATACATGAATCATTATACATGATGTTGTTAATGAGGTGTAATAATAAGTGCACAATTATAAACAGGTGTATCTAGTTGGTAATCTTACAAATTGTCAATGGGATTTTAATTGGTTATCTTATTTCTTATGTATTGATAGTGAATTTACGTGACGATAAACTATTTTAGTTCATAACAGAAGAGAACACTGTAAGATTTCATCATTTCGTTGACAATACAGTATATTCAAAAGAACGGAAAATGGTTCTTCAATATATTGTTCTTGACTTTTCTAATCAGTTTACACACACATCCGTAACAAACAAAATTTACCTTAATGTTTTGCGTTCAAAATGACTATATTTTAACTTTCGAGAAAAAATTTAAACAAAGAGTTTAAAGAGTTTATAGTTTTATGATATTTGTTTTAAAGCGCAATTATTGTTCAACAGCCGCAAACAGGTGTATATAATTAGCTACCTCGTAATCTTACGAATGATCAATGATCAATTTAATTATAACGTATATTGTGGGAAAGCTAACCTCAAACTTGTATCCTTTTTTCACAAGCGTAGTTATTTTACAATTATTGCATGATGATAACGTGAATATCAAAGTTTATGATCCTGGCCAATGTGATATTGACCGAGGACAAAGATCACATTACCAAAGGCCATATACTTGGATATTTACTGAGGCCGAGGACCACATTACCAAGGTCCATATACTTTAATATTCAACGAGATCTTCAGTATCATATGAACAAATTACAATTCTTCTTTTGATGGTATGTTTTCGTGAATTTTTCTATTTTATTTTTCACGCAAACATGTCCTAAGTAAGCGGATGGTAAGTGCAGAAGGTTTTTTTCTGAATCTGTAATTTACATTTCTGAATCTGTAATTTATATATGGTGCATATTTAACGTCACGTTGTTTCTGTTTGTCGGCTAATACTCAATATAACTTAAAACCATTAACGATTTGTTTCTCTAATAATGAACTGTTAAATTTAACACAACTCTGTATGACGCTATGGCGTAGTTTGTTTTAAACTATCTCTTTTCTTTCTACCCCTATCTTAGCAACGAGGGACAATTGGAAGTCAAATAATTAAATAATTTATTGCTCTGTTTTTAATAATACCGGCAGTGTTACATACATAAAAAGACCTACCGTGTGACGGACAAAACACGTTTTCTAAGTCTGTTATACTTAGGCCGAGACTACCTTGCAGATGTTACAAGATATTGGTATATAGGGCTATGTATTAGTTTTTTTTTCTCGAAATGTAAAGAACATGTAAAGGTGATTTTAAGTTTTATTTCAGGCCTACAAATAATAATAGCATTAGGATGACAACAAATAATTACAAGGCAATTAAATACCAATTAAGATATAAAGTTACAAGATACAATGTTGTTGGATTTACCATGATATCAAGATTTCTGTTATTGTGATAGAAGTAATACAACATAATTATAATATCACAAAGTGTCGGTTTTATACTTGATCTCTATGTAATATTATCATAATTTCTATGTATCAGTGTTAAGAGCGTTGTCTTTAAACTATTTGTCTCTCAAAGCTGTGCGTTCGATTCACGCCAGGGGCTTTGGATTTTTTCATGTGAGCAAGCTAGCTTACAGAACGTCGGTGTTATACATTGTACTTAAATGTCTGAAATAATACACGGAGGGGCAGGCGAGGTCTTTTTTCAACATTTAAGCTGGAAAGTTGTCATATAAACCATATTGTTTTGTTGCGACGTACAACCCAACAAAATACTACGTATATATTTTAATTTATCTCATCTATCAGTAGAATAACAATAAGATTTGATTGATTACAGCGGTCTCCTAACAGTGGGAAAAGTTAATGTTTAATATAAATGTTATTTACAATCCCTTTTTGAGATTTATAATGGTAGCAAAATCATTACTTTAACACCATTTAGATTATGTTACGATTTAATTATTTGTAAAGCTGTGTCACCATTTGAGTCACAGAACAGTAAGTGTTGAAATCTAGAATGATGTTATATTTAATCTATACATCTGTATGTAGTGAAATATACATAATGTTTATATATACTTTTTGAAATAAAAACTTATGAATGTTTTGAGACAGAAAAAAATATAATTAATTATGAGCGAGCGTGTTGAATAATTTAAAAAAGGTAAATTTGTAGCATGAAAATGATTTGCAGATTTCTTTCCTGTTTTGTTTGAAAAGGTACACATTTGACATTTTATTTGTTTATTTAATGTTTTGAAAGATTTTTTTCATGTAAACGCACATTCAATGGAATTCATTCATCGTGTATTTTTGAAAAGAAAGTTATTCCGGGTTAAGTTAAGTTATGAAAATATTGTTATTGTGGTTGTTGTTTTTGTTGTTGTTTTATTGTTGTTGTTGTTGTTTCATATGTACATGTATATAATTACATCGTACGATTATCAAAACAAGTTTGAAATACCGTAATGCAACCATTATTAATTTTAATCTACACTTTAATCCTTTTACACTATTTCTCATGAAATGACTTAATAAAAACGAGTTGACAATTTTCATACTTTAGTCCTTCATTATTTATTTTCTGTAATTTTCTGTAAAGTTTATGTTTAGAGAGAAGTGTGTCTTAGATTCATATAACTGTTAAAGAACAAGAACCAGCTAATTCTTTAGATTTTATATGTTACACGTTTTGATACATCTTTAAATATCTTGAAGTAATAGATTCATAATCTTTCAAATTATAAAGAACTAAAACCAATTGACTTCGGGTGTCAATTACTTAAACTTTAAAGTGTAAAAATCCCTAGTGCTTCAAAAAAGCCGAGTAAAAATGCTTTGAATATTAATCATATTTATAAAAATCAAATTATGCGTACTTCTTTACTTTAAATTCATGACAATATTCATCAGGCGAAAAAGCAAGGAATATTTGGACATCTTGTGACGACATCTGAATTACCCATAATGTAAATCAAGTTGAACACAAGTAGGAAAACGACTTAATTTCAATGCTTATTCATATAACGCTGTAGGTGTACATTTAACGATGAACTGCGGTTTACGCTACTGTATAAAAGGAGACGGTATATGTAATCGTGATTTAGTTACTTTTTGATAATCTTACAGCTCGGAGGTAGCAACGATGTTTGTAATTTTTATTATTTTAATACAAATAGCGATGGGAATAGTATGAAAATACGTTTTTATTAAACAAAATTTGAAACATGATATTTCCAGATGTTTAAGCAAGTGCTTGTTTTCGTATATACATTTAATCATAATTGTTTTAATTATGTAGTACATTTCAAGATAAAAGTGTAACGATCATAATTCCTCTATTAAGTAAATGAACAGCTGTACATATTTTCGGTGCATTTTTTTACTATGTGAATAAAGGGCTAAGAGAGTTGTGTGCAACACAAGCGTACGAACAACTGGGAACTTCTAAATTCTTAGGGTTTAACTTTGGATATTACACGTGGTGTTGTTGGAGAATTTACAAGAACATGATGACTGCGGATAATGTGAAAGTCACTATGTTTGTTATTCTAGGACTTATTATAGGTGAAACATTTGGATTGTATTTAACAAAGACAAAGCCAAATAGTTTAAGTGCAATTTTACATGAGAAAAACCTTCCAAGTCGTAAGAAAAGGGACATTCGTTCAGATTATCCGTGAGTTTTATTTCTATCTCTTGTATATTTATCTTTTCTTTTTTTAGTGTTGCTTTGTTTGTAGAAATAACTTAATAATTAAGTTTCAACTTTTTACTTGGCATCCCTTTAAATAATAAAAAAATAATTTATGACTTCACAAATAATTGACAAAAATGAAAAGTAAATTAAACACGAGTATTGTCTGTGTTTATGAAAGGTTGATTTACTTTGATACATTTTTGTCTTCATACATAAAATGGTTAATTACTTATAAAAGATGTAGTCCAATATTTAAGCATATGTATTTTTTTCAGGTCTGTTAACCATTATGCCAGACATGCATTGTGTCGAACATTCAAGGGTAAACAACATTTATACAAAGCAATGAAGAAAAAGATATGTGGAATGACATGTAAGTACCTTTTATCAAATAATATGATTTACCATGTTCTGACTTCTACTGAATTTGTTCAGGTGTATTGCTTAATTAGTTAATATTCTTTTCGAATTAGAGAGGTTTAAAGTGCTATTGTTTTTATTTATAATTTAGATACCCATTGATTGGTTATTCAACGTTTGACGATTTTTAGGTTACTTCAAAATTTTACAAACTTTCTACCTGATAAACGAGGGCACTATTTTCATAACGACTCATGATAGTAATATATACTTAAAAGTAAATCTTAAGTTTGAAATACAAAATCCTTTTATCTTTGCAATATGGAATGAACAATAATGTCTCTATTGACACAGACTAACTGTAAGAGAAATGTTTGAAAGTTCACAATTTCCTAAAGGTCAATAATTTGTATGTCTCATGGACTTAGTTTTACCTAACTTCACCAATGAATTTACCTTTAAAAAAAACTATTTATTTAAAAACATTCTGTAACATAGTCGAATTTTTATTTCAGTGTCCTTCATAGCAAGTTTGGTGATTGATCTTTGTCGCCATAAAAACGCGATGCTAGATACCTGGGTAGCCGGACTGTTTGATGTTGATGGTAATATTTGCTTTTATGATTATTTTATCTTACCATTTGAAATAAGTATATTTTCATTTGATGTTTCGAAGAATAACATTTTGTTTATAAAAGTTTTCACTCAATATCAAATGCGCAATTAATTGCTATACTAGTAATAAAATAATTAAAAACATACATTATGCCCAATCACAAGAGTGTTACTAATTTACTAGAAAATTGAACTCCCATTTGACATTTTAAAGTATATTGGTCTATGATGGAAGGTCTGTGAAACTTTATATATAATTATGTAAATAGTATTTAGTATCAGACATAACGGCAAACATTGCAATAATTGTTATGAGAAACCTGATCCGATATGATTGTATAGCAGATAATAAAATGCTTTAGAATATAATATTATTATTTTTTATATAAATATTTTTTATATAAATTTTCATACAAAATCACTGAGATCTTAATCAACATTTTTTTTCAAGTTATATTTCATAAGACTATCAAATTGATGCATTTCGTTTTTATCAATATTTAAAATACATATAGAAAATGTACCCATTGTTGACCACTCAAATATATCTTAAAACCGCTGTATTTTCATACTTTTAGTATGACATTCTTAATTTTCTGGCCTTAGGCAAAGAATACATAATAATTATTTTTACTTTCAATCAAAGTTGTTTCCCACTTTGATAAAAAAAAGATTGCACTGCGTCGGTTACATTAATGAAAGTAAAATAAAATGATGATCAGACTTAATAAATGTTAATGGTGCGCATTATCATAAATCCTCAATTCATCCAGTTAATAAATATGGCGTATGACCAAGATGTTTATGATAACTGACATAATAAAAACTCAGTTTGATGCTGAGATTTATTTAATTTGATTATACAAATGTATTTGTTCTTGTGATTTGATATAATGCATTATTATTGTACATTTTCCAAATGTGTTACCATCTTTGTGAGGACCAGACTGTTTTATATGTCCACAATTTACGTTAGACGTATTTGATAAAACTTATAAAATCAAGCATGAATTATGTTGTATGGCGATTTGAGAACACCTGTGAAAACCTGTGATATCAAAGTTTTTAAGTAAAATCGCATGTATTGATATATTATAAGTCACCAACATTAGTAAGTTACTAAAAAGTCAATGTGTTTTGTCTTGTACAGGTAACGGGCAGATAACTCATTTTGAGCGTAATATGTATGAAGATACTTACAGCTGAGAGAAAATTCACAACCGCAAATTCATTAGGAGGTTTTGTGCAGGAGTAAAAATCATGAAGCCCTAGGACGTGAATCTGATGTGATTTATCGTATGTTACGCAAAGGAAATTTTCTCTGAATGTAGTGATTCAAACCAATTCTCTTGAAATTAACTGCATAGGCAGAATTCTTTGCAAATCATTCTTTATGTTATTAAGTAATATTACTTTTAGATCTAAAAGCAAACAGTGTGCTTTTATTTTACATTACTTATCATCGTACTTAATGTTTATTACAATTATATTTGAAAGACTCATTTGAAACGTAATGGTGCAATCTTTGATTGTGATATAAAATGCAAATGCAATAGTCATTTCATCAATTTATTTATTTCATGGAAAATCATTTTAATTTATATATGAATATTTATATGTCAGTTGTTTTACAGGATCATGTTCATAAATGTATCACTATATATCTACCTCTTTTATGCAGTATTATATTAAAATAATTTACATTCCGTCCCATTATGTCATATTGTGCAATACAAAATAAATGTGTAGATATAAAAAAATCTTCTTCTTTCTTTTTCTTTTTGCTATAATTATTATTGTCTATTGTTTGTGATTGTCTTTTAGCAACAGCAATTAGTTAAGAGCAAGGATTTAGATGACAAGAAAATATTGATAATGCATACAAGTTATTTGATTTATTTATGATGTCGCATTGAGATGAATGTTAAATTACCATGTATAAAGGTATAATCTATAAGCTGTGTAAACAATAAGAAAAGAAAAGTGTATAAAATAGAGATAATAAAAATCCACAATGAAAGTCTAAAACATCAAAATTGAAAATATGAAGGCTCGGTTTGATGGAGTCTGTACATGGACCGTACTGTCAAGTGCAAACTACCGTCCACGCCCCCTAGCACAGGCTTAAGCAGAATTCACTATTTTAACATGAAAATGGCGAAGTTTTGAATTTAAAAACATCCGCAGATGTGTTCATACGACGGTTATTAGTGAACCTTAAATGTGACACGTTCGTGCTATTTCATGAAAAGCGGCGTATTGTCCCCAAGTAAAAGAATGCGTGTTCTTTGAACGAGAAAACAATGGGCGGAACTAAACTGGACTTTTGAAAGGGGATCAGAGGTTATGAAGCCTGCATATCACAGATACAACGTCAAAAGACATATTTAAAAACCATTCTACCAAATTTGCTATGAAGGACACACTGAAATACACAATAGTATAAACGACTATTGCTTTTGTTTCGATTTCGAAGATTTTTTCTAACGTAAAGTTGTACTATGTTTAAACTAAAATTGTGCTCAATGTGTTTGGTTTTATGTTTTATAAATTTAAAAAAAGGTTTCGCCTGAGTAAACTACTACGACTATAATGAAAAATACCCTGATCTTCACACTATTCAAGTCATATTGTTCTTGTAAATGACCTAGTAACACCAAATGTAGTTACAAATAAGAGACTTAGAAGTTTTCGTCAACAAAATAGCTCCACATAGAATCGTGCAGCACTGAAAATTTTATACAACCGTTAATCAGCATTACGTATTTTGTGACTTTAGGCAGTAACTAAAACAGCTAGAACTATTATGTTTCGATACCTGTAGTTTTTCAAAATTTACAAGTCAGCTTTCTACGTACAATAAAGTTGCAGTTTATAAGCATTTTATCTTCAAAATACATCTGGGCTGTAAGATTATCTAATTTCTTTAAATCACGACAATTACTTACACCGTCTTCTTTGTGGTAGCAAAACCCGCAATAAACCGTTGAAAATAGAATAAAAGTCCCGTGGAAAGGCATGGTATGAAACTTAAAGTATTTAACTTTTCAACGCGTTTGATTGTGTTGTTATTTTTTGTCTCTTTTTACATGGATTTATTTAGGTTCTAGGATACGTTAAGGTACTTTGAAAATAATTACTAGATGTTAAACAAGTACTTTGTTTACAAAACCGCACTCATTGTTATGGAAATTTAAATGATTTAAACTTCCAACGTTTCAAAGCAAATGTCATATTACTATTTTTATCATTAACGAGATAAAACAACGTTTTCTTTTCTTTTACTTTCTGACAATAATTAAGGAATCAAAGTTTTTAAAGATGCTTTGGATATTTCGTTTTATAAAAATTTACACCTACCCTTTATACCATGCTGACATTTGTTTTAGATGTAAAATTTCATTTCACTGTTAATTTTTATAAACTTTATAGACTTCAGAGAAACGAATTTTTTGAGAAATGAGCTTATTGATTCATGATGAAATACCCAAGGTCATTTGAATGGAATGATAACAAATATGACGTTACATAAGGAAGAAAATCGACTTGTTTCATCAATTGAAAGTTTATGAACATAATAAATAATCTTTTATAAGATTTTCTTATCTATAATATGGTAACACCATTTTAATAAAACAAACGTAAAATATCATTCAAACGTTACATAATCAGGAAGAATTGTCAAACTTGAAAACAATGACTAAATCACGAAAATCTTTTCTCCTCCTTTTTTTGTCTTTGCTTTTATGATAGACGCTGTCATTCTTTTTAAATCTAAATAATATTCAAATAACTCCTATGACTAAACTATATACGTATTATTATTTATACTTTACTCCTTCCAAATGAAATTCATGATAGAATTGTACAAAACAGCTGTTAAAGTAATATATCAAGCCATTCTACCTTTTTGCACTTTCAGTTGTATTGTATGAGTCAAATGTAATACAAATTTACGAATAATTCAGTCGTAATATAATCATAGAGAGTGTAAAAAATGTTGTTTTTTTTTCATCTTTAAAGAGAATTTTGGATTTCAAAAACATCAATTACAAATGATTCCATAAGTGATCAGAAAAAACACTGCAATTATCATCTATTTTATGGTTTTACGTTATGAGCTTAAAAATCAGGTATAATATTTCGAAAGTTATATCTCCATTAATCAGGTTATTAAAACTTAAAACATATAAACATATAATCTCAAGTTAATGACACTTTGCTATAAATAATAATATATCAACAATATATAAGAAATATATAAACTTCTCAACAATGAATGCAAATTTAATGTCAAGTTATTTTCATGCTTCATATGTTTTAGATACATATTTATCATGGTTTACCAGGTTAAAATCTCTACTTTGTTACATGGCATTTATGAGGACAAATAGTATACGATTTTAAGTTAATATAACATCTTATTACATATCAAAGATTTTTTCTTCCGTTCTTAACACAGTCAGAATTACTCAAAATGTAAAAAGTAATAAAGCATTGGCATAACCTTATGTTAATTGAATTTGTATAGTACAGTTAATGATAGCTTACAAAACAGATAAACTCAAAGATAAATTGATAAACGGATATGAATTTATAGCAAACCATTTTGCTGTAATGGTTATAAGGTACCTGCAAACAATATATATGAAATGTTTGTGGTCATCTTACAACAGATCAATTTATCTGACAAAACAATTGAAATAATCATTGACCATTTATCAGATAACTTGCCACATACATCTGTTTGTGGTAATTAACGCGTCACAATGCAAGTATTTTAAAATGAAAATTATTTTGTTGACATAATGCACGTCAAACATACACAATTGACACTAAAAACAATGTTTAAGCGATACAATTGTGAAAAATTACATTTTTGAGTCACAACTAACATTAAAGTGCTCTAGTGCATATACTGCAAATGCAATAAACAATTTCGTTTTATAAAAACGATTTAGAATGCTTCTTCTTACACATTGCCTCCTCGTTATCTTTTACGTCATATGTTTGAAGATTCATTGCAAAGCTGTTTAGACTAAAACATGGTCATATAAAGCTACCCGGTTAAAACAAAACAAAGATTTAAAAATATCTAAACTATAAAAAGTAACTTTCAAAATACAAAAACGAAGTTGAAATTACATTTGAAAATTAATAGAAGCGTGTTTAAGTTAAATGTTTTAATGTAGTTAACATGATCTTTATTGTACGATACGGGATGCAGCATCTTTTCTCGTCTTGAACTAGACCATATTAATGTTTTCAAAACTGCATATGTGAACGTTCAACAAACGAATACGTTGCCATACATTTCCTTAAAGATATGACCGTTAACAATATTGTTTTATTACAACATCCGAAAAAAGAAGCCTTTGTTACTGTCAGCAGTTTGCTTTGACACAACAAGAGGTGATATGAAACATTTTTCTCATTAATCATCAATGTTCGATGAATCATTTGTAAAAAAGAATCATTCATACGTAGCGGGCGATTTTGTTAATTAGCAAATTAATAACATATAATCTTATACTGGCAAATGGCCAGTTACATAAGTATCTTTATTTATTTATTTAAGTCTCATCTTTACATGTATACATAAAAATAAGTAACAACTTACAAATACCTTATTCATCCGATGAAGGGGAAATGATTAGCTATATTCATGCTCATAACATATCATATATCAAAGTGCATTTTAGGTTTTAAAACTTTTTTATTTTGATATTATATAATGCAGTGACTGTATTTTCTTATACCCAATGTAACGTACATTATCATTTACAGGACATTAAGTTGATAAAAGACTTTTTATACATGTAGATAAACAGTTACTAATTTGTATCGAATAAAACATTGTGAAAATGTTCGCGTGTTATCTTGATGTTTGTTCGTGCGCATGTCGGTGCCATTATATGTGTTTTATTAATTTTGCATTGCACTTAATCGTTTCAATGTAGAAAGTTAATGACATGTAATGCTAGTAATTTACTTTGATAAACATACTTTTTAAAAACAATATAAAGAAGTATCAATTGTATCACACTATTTAACCATCTTTCCTCGTCGAATGCCTACAAGTGTATTTATAATTCTTAAATCAACACACACGCATAATTAACTTATCTTTAATCCAAATAATTTACTCAATTTATTATAACTAATGGGTGTCTTTGTGAATTTACGTAAGATTTAGCTTGATAAGCGACAATGAATATATTTGAAACCATGACAATTTTACAAATTGAACCTGACAAAATTGCAAATATGTT